TACATTACATATGCCATATTGTATGGTTGATAACATAATAATAACCATTTCAATAAATAATATATTTATTCATGTATTGTTATTATTATTAAGCATTCATTATAAAGAATTACATAAAAAAAAATAATATAGTTTAATGCAATTATTATTAACACATAATTTTATAATAGTGCTCTATTATGAAAATAATTAAACAAATGGTATTACTTGCATTAAAAAAATATATGTAGGCACCTATATCTTTTACCTACTAAAAAACACATTAAAATTATTATTAAAAAAAATATGATAATGTAATAATTATAATGTATACCTACATTTAGCAGCAACTATTCTAATACTCTTAACCGTTTATCATTTATTTATTTATTTAAAATGTTCTAAGGTTCATAAGATCCAAATTCAATATTTATAGTATATATATATATACTATATATAATATATATTGTACAAATATGACAGTAATACAGTAAGTTGTATTAACTGATAATAATACAATAATAATATGAATATATTAAATACAAACAATTATATTCACATATATACTAAAAGTTCCCGAGGAAGTAAAGTTAAATAAATACATTTTTGGTACACTGAAGCTAATTTCACCATCCCGTTAATATAGGTGAGGCTAAAGCATAATTTATTTTTTGAGAAAATACATAAAAAATAGTAGTTGATCTGGTTCTACGCTGAGCGACATTAAAATTAAAAAAACTTAATATTTCTAGACATTCAATATAACCATTTACAAGTTTAAATAAACATTTTAAGTCTTTTATTTTTCTTCTTTCTGGTAAACTAACAATATGAAAGAAATTTAATGATGGTGACTGGTAAGGAGAGTATGGCTTACGCATTATATGACATTTGAAGGCTAAACCCCGTAAGAAACTATTTTGTATATTATCTTAGCTGTGAATTTTATATTTTAATGTTTTAAAACATTTTGATGACATATTTATTGAATCTTATTTTTATCTATATTTTATTTCGAGTATTTATATTTATATACGAATAATTACGGGCACACCTATACCGTTTAAATTATTCTATACACTCACATTCTATTCCATACACAATTTTTAACAATACAGTGTGATTCTTTATTTTATCAATAAATGAATTTGCTTGCATGGATATTGTGCATAGTGCATAGTGCATACATCATCAATTTATTATTACATTTATTGCTTGAGTTATGATTTACAACTTTTAATATGTTAAAGACATCTTCTTGTGAATTATGTCTTTTCTTAAATTATTTATTAATTTATTGTTGAAAGATATTTGAAAAAATACTCCAGTAACAAAATAGTATTAAAAAAAAAAGTTTTATATGACAGCGATTGGTATCAAAAAAATGTCTTACAAAAACATATTACCTATATCTTTTTTTTTAATGTAACCAACAAAGATTTCCCTAAGGGGTTGATCTTTTATTTGGTTGCACCCTTTTGGTGGGTAAAAAAAGATCCAAAGTTTTATTTTTATTGCTATAAGTTATGTATATCTAAAATGCTAATAAAGGTTACACCTAATGCAGGTGGCTTGAATAGTAGATTTTTTGTTCCTAAGTCATTAATTTAATTGAAATTGTATTCTTTGAACGAGAGAGGTACTACATTTTTTTCAAACTACAATTATTATTTTTGGTGGTTTTGATTTCTAAATCTTGATAACTATATGTTTATTCATACACTTAAATTGTTTTTTATTTATTCTATGTGGTCATACATTGAAATAGATAAAATATTTTACTTTTATTGATGATTTTTAACGTATATTTTAAATAATTTTAGTCATATATTCATTTATAAAATACACAATTAACATAAAATCAAATTGTTCAAAGAGTTAATTAATTTATCTTTTCTTTTATTATTATCTCCAAAACAAAAATTAACTAAGTACTTGAAGTTCAGTTCATCCAATACTAATTTATTTTAATTAAAAACCTTAATTAATATTTGTATTAATCGAACTAGACGTTGTTGGCATTTATATATTATTGTTTGATATTATTAAAATATCTCTACGGAAAACAAATTATAAAGTATAGAAGTTATAATAGTGTATTAAACAGAACATTCAATTATAAATAATTTGAATGTACATCGTTAAAATTTGAAATGTGTATGAAATATCAAGTGACTTTGTTGTGAAAAAAAATGTAAAACCGCTATATAACGGGTGATAGTTTATATTATATAATAATATAATTAGCTTGTTAATTAAACGATAAGAATTAAAAAGGATTACTTAAAATAACAAATTATAATTCTTTACTTGAGTCTAAAATTAATAGATACTTAACATAATTTTTTTATTTTACTCACTTTTCGATGTATGCATTGCATTTGTATTTTGTGTAAATATTATGAAAGCTATTGTTTCTGAATTTTTTTAAACAGAATAAACCATATAATCGTTTATGCTGCCATTCGTTTCTAAATCTCTCCTGTTATAAATAATATAAACCTCGAGTCATATTTCGCGGAGAATTTCCCTTGGACATTTTCTCTTATTAAAGACCCTCAACCCTCCGCCACCGTTCTGTTGTGCTCAACAAATAAAAACGCTCTCTTGAATAATAGTTCCGGGCCTGTCATCTTCAGAGCACTTGCCAGGCTATTATCATACGCAATACACCTCCGAACCCCTCTTTGCACTTAACTAAAAAACAAAACAAACCGTAAGTGTACAAAATCATTGTTTTTACTTAGAGAGGATTTCAAAAGATATTCTTCTCACAAACAAGAATGATTTTTCGTAGTATTTTATATTAGCTTTGACGTTACTAGCGTTATGAATGAGTTACTTTATAGGTAGTTCCTGGTTAGAGCAGTTTATACACAAAAAAATTATCATTATAATAAAAAGTGAAAGAAGATCTAGTTATATATACTGTTCGGTTCGGTTCGGTTGTGTACACGGGGGATTTTAATTTCCTGAACGTCGTGTAATCTATAAAAGGGTCAACGAACAGATTTCATCAGGTGAAGTAATTTGTCCCCTAGCTCCGGGAATTGCATTTGTATGGGTGTGCGTGTGTGTTTAAAGCCGAATGAGAGGAGAGGTGAGGGATTCATTTACTCGACTTTGGCAACATGACAAAAGCGTACATGGAGTGCAATTTAGACGTTTGGATGACAAACGCCCATCAAAGCCAGTTGCCGGATGTGCCCTCTGCGTTAATTCCTACTAATAATATCATTCCGACGTCATTCGCATTGGTTGTGCTGTTAATGATTTTTTATTTATGTCCCTTAAAACACTACGAGCTGTCATGGTATGTGCGGTATAGGTATGTACTTTAGTATTCTCTCCCTCGTATGTGATGATTTGTGAATGAAAAGTGTAGTCCGCTGTCAAATGTCAACTATAGGTATGAAATTTTATTTTCGTTTTGTGTTTATTATTATATGTTGTTAAAAAATCCCGATGCATATAATAGTATTATCTTCTATTATTAATATTATAGTCGCATACATATAGTCTCGTTTTAAATTGTTTATTTTTATTTCTCATTTCGTATACAATATAATATAGTATGTTTATATTACATTGTAAAAAAACGTCGATACAAGTGGGGTGTGTTAAAATGTGTAATGAATATAAACTATATTATGTATGTACTAATATTAGGTTACTTTTATTTCTTTTTTGTTTCCCCGGCTTGACGCAATGGTTGTACCAAATTGTTAAAAATATCAATAATACCATTTCTCTAAGTTCGGGTTTTTTGTTTAGTAGGTTTTTGGTTTGATTTTGTTTTTTGTTTTTTTTTTATAGGGAGGGGCAATTCTTCGATCCGTTTGCTTTAATATATTATCATATTATACTACATAGGGTGTCCTAATTTATAGTCATTCGTCCGGTCCGGATGGCATTTGACATCCGTATTCCGTGATAACGCTTGTTCAAATGACATTATTTATAACTTTCGGTAGGTATGTATAGCTACTATATACACCTACCGTTTACTACGACACTATTTAGTTATTTAATTTACGAAAAATCACAATTCTATTATAACAGTTTTAACAATATTACTTTCAACTTTAGACTTTTCGACTTATGAATCACCGAATTTATTTTTAATCTTTTTTTAATTAATAATAACATACCTAATATTTTTATATGTTTATATATAAATGTTAGTGTCATTGTTTAAAATGTACAAAATAATGTTTAGCCAATATTACCCTATCTCTTTTATTCTGACAGTTTCAGTATCAATAACAATATTTACTTAAATGATTTGTTTTCCTCTTCTTACACGAAAAATCAACAAATCATCGTTATCTATAATGAAAGTTTCATGAAAACTTCTTAATTTGTATCAAAAAGTATTGGAAATTCGATTTATTACTTTCGCAAGTTTTGCTTTGAAACTTATATTGTTATTTTTGATTATAATATATGTTTGAAATATATCTAAGTTTAAAATTATTTATTATTCAAATTATCATACACTTTTAATTGCTTGTATAATTATGTATTTAATTTAACTATGTTATCATAACACATATTAGAAATAAAACATCGTATGGAAATATAGATAAATTATTAATGATGAAATTGTTTTTTAAATATATATATACACTATACATATACCTATACATATACCTTTACATGGTTTACAATAAAATATTTAGTTTTGAGATGTTTAAGCCTAATGAAGATGATCAGTTGTTGTATGATCTGGGCTGAAAGCTTCTTGTCTTAGGTTTCTCGTATGTACGACATTCGATTATAATAACGTGTTTTATCAGAAAGGGCGGATATAATACTCGTATTAACAACAAACATAAACTGGTTTAATTTTTATTATTAATTGGAAAATAATTGTATAGTAGTAATATTAGACAACTGTATAATGTAAGCAGCGAAATATTTGTATTGAATTAATGTAAATTCATTAAAAAGAAAAAAAATAGGAACGTTTATTACGAATTTAATCCCAAAGTACAGTTTTATATTTATTATATTTTTAGACTGGAGTTCTGGTCTTGGTGATCAAGAACGAGTTAAACGACAGTTATCCGTGTCGTCTGATTCGAAGCTGTTGGACGAAGCTATATGCGAGGAGACACGTGTCATACTAAGACCTAAGAAACCTCCTAGGCCTAAATCTGAAGTGTTCCTAAACCAACCCAACCACAGACGAACCAAACGGTATTCGGCATTTGGGGTATGTATTTGCTTAAGTTTGACTTGATAAGTATATATTATATTTATATGCGTGTTAAAAGTAAAGTACTTAAATCTATCCCCCATCCTTGGTAAAAAATAAAATGAAATCCAGTTTTGTTTTGAACACTAATGACATTTATAACTCCATTCATTATAATATAGCTTTAAGCGACCAAGAAATGTTAAACCTTTTTATACCTCGTTATTTCCCCCTATTGAATCTCGATTTCTTTTTTCTCTTTAAAATATGACACGTAACTTTGACTTTGACTATACCCGAGAAATATTATTAAAATCGCTTTCAGACGTAACCTCCCCCATATTATTTATGTTTAGTACCTATATTGTTTTTCATTCAAAGTATTTTAAATTTTTTTAACTTTTGTTTTTTTTTTTATCCAGGGAGATTCTCCATTTGGAAAATCAGAGGCGTACATAAAATTAGACCCGCTTGGTGAAGGTTCCTATGCTACCGTGTTTAAGGGGTACAGTAAGTAAGTATCTATAACAAATTAAATAAATAATAATGGTACCTTTATAGTAAATAGATTTATAGATTTATTATTATTCCTTTAAAACATTTTATTTGAGAAGAATTGAAATAGTTTAATGCATCAAAGTAATATCGTTGCTTATAATTAATGACGTGTTGGTATAAATCTTATAAATTTAAATACAATTATTAATTATTAATTAACATTCACAACATACATTTTGAAATATTTAACTTGTGTAGATATATATAATTATAATTATCAATGAGTTAAATAAAATTGGTACCTACCTATAATATTTACAATTTCTTTAAACCATAAAACTTGTTGCTTGTTTTTATAGTTTATAATTTTAATGAAATATTATTGTTTTCCTATCAAATTATTAAAATCACTAATCAAACATTTATTAATTTATTATATTAACATCATAAAATAATTATTAAAGGCACGGCATTTAGCATAACTATATTTAGTCAGAATAATTCAAATTTTAAATACAATAAGAAGTTACTGTGACGGTGAAAAATAAATATATTTTATAATAATGTGCAAAAAGTTAAAATAGTAGGTAGTTCTTAAACAAAACGGTTTTTCTCGTGATTGAATACGTATGCGTACATAAGTATTAAAGTTTCATGAGTATTATATGAAGAAAAATTCACCGAACATTCGTATGGTTCTTATTATAGTTCTTGTGTCTAATCCAATGCCTTAACTTAGTATCTTGCACGTTTTGTAAATAGAGGTTATTTAGAGTTTAAATAATAGAAATAAGTCTACGGAATAATTTGGTAGCACATTTTTCCACTCTTTAAAACATTGTTACCTGCTTTTTGTGCCTTGTTGGAGAATTTAAGAACAATTGGAAAACGTTAGTATTCCAATCTTATTTATGGTATTTGTATTAGGGTATAATAATATGTACCTATAATGCTATTATGTATGAATATAATGTATATTCAACATTTGAATACACAATGTATAGGATTTCTAATGGGTTCGATGAATTTCGTTTTATATAATATTATGTCTGTATAGTTGTTATAAATCCGATAATATATCTAAGTACCTAGCCCGATGTTTGTGTATTGTGTTGTTATAATATACTGTTATATAATCTAATACATTTTCCGCCGTTTTGACGACAACAATATTCATAATTGACCATTTACATTTTTTTCTCTAGTTTGACCAATCAAGTCGTTGCGTTAAAAGAGATAAGACTACAGGAAGAGGAAGGTGCACCTTTCACGGCGATCCGTGAAGCTTCGTTGTTGAAAGAACTGAAGCACAACAACGTGGTCACTTTACATGACATTGTGCACACACGCGAAACACTTACATTCGTTTTCGAATACGTAGTAAGTCTTCTGCGTAGTAAAGTTTATATTTTTACAATGTACATTTTTTGATTTTAACCGAAACCTGTACTTTTATAATGCGAATGTATTACTATTTATAACTATTATTGTTATTTTTGAAAAATGTTTCAAAAAAACGCGTTCGTTTTAACACTGACTTTTTAATAATTGTTTTTCTAAAATTGTCATTGTTATATTATTTTGATTATTTTGATAATTATTACTTAATAATATAATACCTTTTAACTTAAATGCAGTAATAAATAGTAATGTTATTGCATTCAGAAAAACATTTAAGTGAATATTGATCATAAAATTGTTTTTCTACCCTAAATATTATTTACGTATTCACACATAAAAAAAAAATAGGTAGTTTGTTTATAATTTAAAACAACTATCCTACTGTTTATATTTATGAAATAGAAATAACTATACATCCATGGTAGCAGAAGTTAACATTTTACATTCTATGCATGTGAACATTTCGAAAATAATAGCATTCTATTTATAATATGCTTAATTACTATTAAATGGTGTCTATAATAGGTTCAGGAGCTAAAAAAAATAAAAATAAATTCCTTGTATATTAAATGCTCATTTAATTTGATTACATTCAGCTGATAGTTCGTAATGCATCCATTATACTATAAATGCTTATGAGTCATAAACCTTGCATTCAATATGAAACAATGAATTATTATGATTTGTATTTAAAATTTAATTTGTCTACAACATGTATTATTTTTAATGACACCATACAATTGTAGTTATTCAAATGTATTATAATTCGTATGTTTTATTTAGATCCTTAAAATACATTTCATATTCAATTATTTAAATGGAGAATTTATCATATTTTAATACCATAGTTAAGATTAAGTTATATTTGAAATACATTAATTTTCTGACTATAGTTGAAATAATTTTTTTATGAGATTTTAATCAAAAAATTATTATGCCCTCATTTTAAAATTAAAAATGTAAACAATACGAATAATATTAAGAAATGTAATGGATCTAACGAGGACAGTGAAAAATGAGATATAATAATGCAAAAACTCATTAAATTTGTGCTTATTTTTTTAGCATACTGATTTGTCACAATACATGGAGAGACATTCAGGAGGTCTTGACTATTCAAATGTACGACTATTCATGTTTCAATTATTCAGAGGATTAGCATATATACATCAACGCCGTGTACTTCACAGAGATGTCAAACCGCAGAATTTGCTCATCAGCGAGATAGGAGAACTTAAATTAGCTGATTTTGGTATGAGCAGTGATAATTAATTACCTACATTATAATCATATATACTTTTGATGAAAAAATCTTTAAAAATTAATGTTGTTGTTGTTGTTTAGGATTGGCTCGTGCTAAATCAGTGCCAAGTCATACATACTCTCATGAAGTAGTGACATTGTGGTATAGACCACCTGATGTCTTGCTTGGGTCTACTGACTATTCAACCTCCTTAGATATGTGGGGTGTTGGATGCATATTCATTGAAATGATAACTGGTGTGCCCACATTCCCTGGAGTACGAGATACATATGATCAATTGGATAAAATATTTAAGGTTAGTATACAGTTATTGATGTATACTTAATAAATTTTGATGGTTTCAACTATGTTTCATAGATTTTGGGTACGCCCACAGAAGAACATTGGGAAGGTTGCACACATCTAAAAGGTTACAAAGAAGGAAGAGGAAAAATATTTATGTATCCACATCAAAAGCTTGGTCATGTGTTCCCCAGGTTGTATGACATTGCTGAAGGCGAGAACTTGGCTACGTCATTACTTCAAGTACTAATTTAAACTGCATATTAATCTTATATTTGTATTGTACATTTAAGTATAGTCCATCAATAGACAATATTATTGATTATAAATACTATACATTGCTCGCTGCAGTTCAAACTCCATGCTCTGAATTTACTAGGGATCCTGGTGTTGTTATCCAGAATCACTAGTAAATTCAATTCATGGATACTATAGTACTGCAGTGAGCAATCTATACTCTATAGTATTTATAATCCATGGCAATGTGTATGATATGTTTATATTATATAAGTAGCCAAAGAAATTTTGTTTTTTCATTATTATTTATTACAAATCAATCAATTGAAAATGTCATATTACATAATATCATCTTTTTAAACACTTTAAATCAATTTACAAAAACAAAAAAAAAAATGATTTTAATTTGGTAACTTTTAATGAATAAGTACATACATACAATTAAAAAAATTAAACATTATTTTTGTATAAACATTTTTAAAATATACTAATTGAATTGAAATACATATCTAAATACATACTCAAATAACTAATGTAATTGTCTTATAAAAAAGTACATATCCTAATAATAAAGAATTGATAAATATTTATTTCAATTTTTTGTGCTTCAAATTTAATTTTTCTTACAGTAATTTTTATGAATAATTTTATAAACATCATAGATTTTAATTTCAATGTAAGTTTATTATATATACACAATTTTAATTAATAAATATTATAACTAGTTAAATTAACTAAAAATATTTAATATGCATTTAATTTATGCTGTTACTGATAATGTTTAAGTATATGTACACCATTATTTAATTTTTAGTTTTAATGTTTATAAAAAATAATTTTTTTTAGCTTAATCCAGATTTGCGTATCAATGCTCCATCTGGTCTTAGGCATAAATATTTTCAATCACTTCCCAAAGCCATATATGATCTTCCAGATGGTAAGTACAATTTTAAGGAGATTTTTAAAATTAATTTTAACTAATTGTATTTTGATATTTTCAGAGGTGTCTATTTTCAGTGTGAAGGGCGTTCATCTGAGTCATGAATCAAGAACTACGTTCAAGTGTTAAATGTTTTTTTTTAGTAATTATGAAGTTATTACTAATTATTAGCTCAATAAAATTAAAAAATAATATTATGTATAAATATAGTTGTTTACCAGAAACATTGAGTTGTGCGGCCCAATCGGGGCTCTACGCGTCTCGGCTATTGAGCCATTTTGCTGTGATGATGATTATTTTATATTTCCTATATTCATACTTATAAATGTTAGTATATCAGTGTTGTAAAGGGCTTCTAGAATGAAAATATTTAAATATTAAAAAAAAAAACAAAAAAACAAAAAAAACAATCAGTTATATTGCAATTATAAACTTATTAAGTATATGAAAAAAAAAATCAGAACAAAAATGAAATAATATAAGATATATAAGATATATTTTTAGGGCGATAATAATTCTTCTGTGTTTACTACTTATGCAGTTTTCACAACTAAAATATTAGTATTTAAGGCAAATGAAATTGCTCAACAAAGTGGGGGTCAACTGTATAACAATCTAGTTACATATATTATGTATACTTACAGATACTTATTATATTTGTATTTATAATATTAAACATTACATTTAAACTGAACAAAATAACTTAAATACACTCCCCACATTCGCTTTGCCGTCCCTTGAACGTCCAGTAAATATGATATTATTGTGTTTGAAAACATTCCTAAAGTTGCATCAATCACAAAATTTTCCTCTACGATTATATTTGTTTTTGAATAGTCTATTTTACATTTGCCGCTTGCCGTCCAATGGGTCCGTCAAAGCAAAATATTCCTCTGAACACACTTTATTTAGCCGATAACTTAAACAAAATTTCCAAGATGACTGTTCATTGACATCAGATTTTATGTTATTGTTAAACTATTTAACTATAGGTACCATTCTGCGTACGTTCATTTATATTAATGGTTGTGTTTTTAAGCACATTATGTATTAACTTTATGCATTTTACATATATATATATATATATACCTACTTACGTGTATATATAATATGTCTCTTTTCTTTTCTTTTTTTTTAATATTTATTTTGTATTCAAGTAAAATGTATACAGAGGTTGAGTTAAGAAATACTAGAATTAAATCAAAATTTTGATTTAATCAAATTATGGATGTATAATTTATATTTTATTGTAATTTTTTTATAGTTTTAAAAATCATAACTATTTTTTATTTTTGTTTTTCTTTTGGTGTACACTAGCCATTTTTAGTTTTTTTTTATTTAAAATTGTGTAACTCAACCTTCTTAGGTACATAGTAAATCTTAGTTCATACAATGTTAAATAAAAAGATTTTTTTTTCAAACTAATTTCATTGTCTCTCTTAATAGATAGCAAATATATTAGTGGCTAAATATTATATTAACGAATTAATAGATTATAAATGATGACACATTTATGTAATAGATATTTCACTGTGTCCCAAATTTTGCACACGCTAGTGAGATAACCAATTTTTGTCACTAATGAAGTCAATTAATTTATTGTGAATGATGAAGTCGTGTACTTTAGTATTTTTTTTTCTATAAAACATATTTTGTATGCAGTATTCTTTTGTGAAACATTTAAGGCAATATATTATGTGGATTTCAACTGCGATTGTAAATCATTGTGTTATATGTTAACAATTGTAACAATTTAGTAAAATTTGTGTAATTTATTTCAAAAGGAAAACAAAAAAAAAAAATGTTTATAATGCCCTTCCCGTATCATTCTCCCGCCCATTGAACTACTGTTTTGTCTATATTTTAATGTATTGTCATAATAATAATAGTATATTTATTATTATTAATGTAATATTGCGTATTCTATGTGACAATTATTATTATTATTATTATATTATGATGATTTTTATTATTATTATTTATTTATTTTAGGACTGTTAAAAAAAAAAAAAAAAAACGGGTGTAAATAGAATTATTATCATAACTTTGTCATTTATATAGTTTGTTTATATATTATATTTGTTTAAAGACTTTATATTGTAGAACGACTCATTAAGTGTAAAAAAAAAAGAATTAAATAATAAATTATAAAAACAACAAATTTCTTAAAACAAATATCAAGTTTTCTTTTATTTACTACTAGCTAAACATTTTGTATTTTATTTAACGCCTAACACAGAAGTAAAACTAATTGTGCAACTTTGTATGTACAAATGATAATTCATCACACGTCAAATGAGTTGGAGATCACATGTTGCCACTGACAGTTCGCTGGAATCATGTAAATGGCCAAGACGTCAATATGTATGCAAACAGCAGTAAGAACAAATGTTTTTTGTGTAAGTCTGTAACAAACGATAATAAGAATAAAAATTATAATAACGGGATTAGTGGTACATAGTGGATTACATAATCATGTCAATAGTTTTTTGTAATTGTTTTAAACACTTTGGAATGTACATGTAATTAGATATAACAACCAACATAATATATTTACGGATCATTACTGATCGATTCCTAAGAATGTGGTTTTGCTCAGAGTTTGTAGCTTGGTATGATTATGCACCCAATGTTGTGAAATATGCTTGCTCACATCATGCATTTGTCGTTGACTGTGCATGCTCTGGTGGGCTCATTAAGACTCATCTATGCTGAATGGCTCGCCCACATTATAATATTATCTATACCCAAGACAATTACCCAAGCTTATCACACTCATGTGAACTGCAACTAATCTTGTGGAAGGTGCATCATACAAAGCCAATAATTTGAGTTGTACCAAGATATATATATATTTTTTTTGGGTGTTTGCGGCCTCTTGGACCATCCCGTCATACATCCAGCTTTCCATCCCTCTCGGTCTGCTGTTCGTACTTTCCAATCACTTCCTCTTCCTAGTTATTCCACGTCCTTCTTCACTATATCCTATCATTTCATTTTCGGTCTTCCTATGGGTTTTTTTCCTGTAGGGTTCTTTTCCAGGACGGTACCGACTAATGAGTTCTGGTTTTTCCAGGAATGTCCTGCCCTCCTGTCTCTTAGTTCTTATTGCTTCAACAATGTTTGGTTTTTGGTACAGTGATTCTAATTTCTCGTTTTTCCTTTTCCTCCATTCATTAGTAACATTGTCCTTTATAGGTCCGAAAATTCTTCTGAACATTTTTCTTTCACATGAGAGGAGTCTATTCTCGCCAGTTTTCCGAATTGCCCAAGTCTGCTCCATACGTAACCACTGATCTTATCAAGGTAGAGTATAATTGTTTCTTTAAGTCTCTTGACAGGGATCGAGCTCCTAGCAGTTTCGCTAATCCGAAAAAGCATTTGTTTCCAGCTTGTATTCTCGCTTCTATTTCTTTTGCTTTTTCATTATTTTCTGTTAATATCGTCCCCAGATACTTGTACTGCTCTACTCTACCGAAATTATATTGATCTATACCTAGGGAGGGGCTTAATCTTGCATTGTTCTGCCTCCTTACAACCATATATTTTGTCATCTCTTCATTGATACGTAAACCTATTTAGGCTGACGACTTATCCAGCCGTCTGAATAGCGACTTAAGCTCATTTTGCGATTCTGTGTACCCAGGTATAAATAATATAAATTAGTTAAACATTTTATTAAAATTTGGAAAAAAAAGCATTCTTTGAACTCGTCCACTTATGTCTGGGATAACTGGCGTGAAGTTTCCAAAGACTTGGATATTAAATAATCGACTCCGGACTAAGTGAGGGACTTTATACATCCTATATAATACAACTACCCTTATATTGTACGATAAGGGCCCACCGACAGTGTCCGGTCGTCACCGGATGAGGCTTATATCAGAACTATAATATGATAGGGACTTAGCATTAACTCTTCGTTAAAATGTATACCTAGTTGTCTTAAATTAGATACCACTATAATGTATGTACTTATAGTCGTTTTGTGATTAGGATAAAACAATAATGTAACAATATTGTGGCTCCTCGAATAAAAAGTTAATGCTATAATATGTAGGTAATATTATTTACCTGCATTGCATTGCTATTACGATTACCTACTTTTCTTATATATTATGATACAGAGGAAAATCCGTAAATGCTTAAGGGTCCGCTATTGTACCCCAAAACTTAAATTTCAAGATATTATAAGTAGGCTTCTACTCTACAAATTCACAAAAAAATGTATTTGAAATATAGTTTAAATTTGTGCATTGTGCCATTGTGCTGTTCTGACAGTCAATATGATAATACTATATATTAAAAATTCATGAAAAGTGTATTATTGTAATAATAATTTAATAAATAAATATACACTTGTGAAAAACAACTTCAGATCTTAACATCAATAATAAATTTAAGAAAATGTTATAGTTAAAATGATTGTATTAATATGCTAATTTAACGTAACTTCATATACAAGTAAAATGTAATAAATTGTGACACTTAATAGTGTTAGGCAGGTACCTCAGCCCTCAGGTACTGTACCTAGGTTGATATGTCAACATTCATACCTAGATAATATAGAGCTCAAATTCTAGCAAATAAATAGCAATTTTTCTAAAGTGGTTTGAAGTTCCTGGGTTGAAGTGGGGGGGGGGGCAACTTCAGGCTCGTTGATTTGGTTGAGCAGGTCCGTACTTCTTAAGAAATTGGTCATGTTGTTGATTTATTCTGTGTTAGTGTGTTGGGGCCTAAAGCTTCGTCTTTGCTAGATGTTATGTTTTTCGGCGTCTTCTACGTACTTCAAGCATTTTATAATAATTGTACCTATACAGGTATTTTTTTTTTTTGAAAACTGATTTATGAAAATTTGAGATTGCCCTTATATAATACTGCTCATAGCTAAAGGCTGTAGCAATGATCTTCAATCTTTTTTAGGCAGATGGCCACCTATTATTATTTTTTAAATCTCGAGGACTGAATTTGTAATAAAAACAAGTACCTACCTATTAAAAGAGTAAAAACATAGCGTTTTTTAATGCAATATCCTAGGTAGGTATGTTGAAATGTGTTCGCATGATGGCTCATATAAAGACAAGGCGCGGGTTGGAGACCCTTGGACTGTGGGTAAAGATGCTTGAAATACCACTCAAAATTGAAAATACCAATAATTAAAATTCCAAATGTTTTATTTGATACCTATTTGTAGATGTTAAGAAACCATATTTAAAAATAAAAATATCTTTGGACCTGAACGTTTACACAAATGTTTTGTGCGGGCATAAATTCCTTTGGTTTTATTTTTTTGTAAAAGTTACTTTTTTTGTTAGATTGCGATATTTGCATTTCCCAAATCAACGTGTATACAGGGCGATTAACCAATAATGCTAGCTGAAACATTTTTTTATTATTTCGTAATCAATTTTTGATACTTAGAATGCTTAAAGAATGTACCTAAAATAATGTAACTTAACTATGATCATATTTTACAGATTAAAGAGTTTGCTAACTACGATAAACGGAAAACTGGTACGGTCTTTATAAATGCGGAATACTAGTACGGTCCGCAATAGTCAAGGTTTCCTAAACTTTTATGAAAAAAATAGCGATAATATATCAACGATTATTTATGATCATAGGTATAGATATAACCATAGATATTCACCATAGATATTTACCTAGAAAACCAATAAATATTCTGATTTCAATATCTCTGAAGAGTGGAAAACTACTCTAGGGGCTGAACCTCGGTCACTCATGATATTTGACAGTGAGGAGCCTGATTCATGAATTTTGATATTATATATTATCAGCATCGCTGACTACAGTTCTAAAAATATATTGGCTCCATTGGGGATTTAATAAACATTTTAAATAGTTGACATTTTTTTTGAAAACATTTTTGTTTCTATGTAGGCAGAACTAAATTGTCGATTTTCGAAGTTCGTCAATCCTCGTAAGTTCTTTTTTACAGTAATAATTTAAAATTTTGAAAAATACATATTTGGCACAATTTTTATCATCGGCATTTTAAGTTTAACCGTTACCCTGCATGGACCTATATTATTGCCGTTATACATTTATAACCTTAATGGTGGTGTGTTTATACATTATCGAACCGACTAATTATTATTTGTAAATTTAGAGAATTCAATCAAAACCTGTTGTCGTTCACTATTTATCAGGCCGTCAGAGTAGGCAAAAAAAAAGTAAATTAATTAATGCAAATACAATAATAATTAATGAAAGGTAATTAAACGGGTGAAATCAAATAAAGCGTTTTCCAATAAAACGATTTTTTTTTAAGCTTTTATATTTACTCATCGTTTGGTTTTCATTTAATTATTATAATCATATCATGAGGTTTTTATATCGCGCGCCCAATAAAGTATATATATATATATATATATAGCCTACCTGCAGGTACACATAATAAATTGGCCGGCGTTTTTTATTTTTTTTTCAGTAGTAGTATTTTTCAATAACAGAAACAATACCTATATATTAATATTATTATTTATTGTATATATATATATATGTCGCTGAGTGTATAAAAGCAAAATGCATATGAATAATATGATATTATATATCAAATATTTTAATGTGCAGTGTACGGGTACAATCATTACAAATAACATATATATATAAAATACACCCCAGCGATGCCGAATTTCCAATATAAGCCTATTATTACGCTATACGATATATATATGAACTTGTGAGCATTATATGCCTGCAGGTGTATTCATCAAATGTAAAACACTGTCATTAGGCATTTCGAAAGCTATTGTCTATATATTATGAGAAAATATTATTGTCTTGCGTAGTTGCGTATTATGATTTT